GGCTCGCCACTAAACAGGAAGTGGCTCGTAACTAGGCCACACTTGCTCCGATCTGCCCCAAACTCCACATGCCGGATCACAGTCCCACCGTGCGTGAAGGCCGACAAGCGTAGGGCGAGGACCCGTCCATCGCTGCTTGCGGCTTTAATTGGGGTTTAAAAGCTTTATAGAAAAGCGATAAAAGTTATTTTAAAATCTTTTTTTTTTTTTTTGAAGGCTGTTCTGGCTAAAATTCATAATTTAAATCTTTTCCAGTCTTAATAGCAAACTGAATGTTTCGGAGTTTTTATCTGCTTCTGGAAATTAATGAAGAACTTTTTCATCACTTCTTGGTTCTGGTTTCTAAAACGAGAACGTTTTCTGATTTATTTTACCGTTTACAGGTTGTGGCTCTAATACGAGTAGATTTTCTGCCTTTCTCTGCCCTATCTGACAGTAAACTGACTATTTGTGGGGTTTGAACCGCTCTGGAAAAGTTATGAAGGACTTTTAATTCACTGTTTGGTTCTGGCTTTTAAAATTGGAGGATTTTATGGTTTTCTTTGGATAGAAAACTGAATATTTGGAGTTTTAAACTGTATGAAAAAAAGATAAAAGTCTTTTTAAAATCTTTTTTTTAAATAATTTAAATATTTTTCACTCTGATCTGATGGAAAACTGAATATTAGGGGTTTTGAACTGGTTTTTCAGTATTTTTTCCAGTTCTGGCATCTAAAATAAAAGGATTTTAAGCTTTTGTTTAAATAAAACTTTGAATATTTAAACAGTTTGGGAAAACTTTAAACATCACTTTTTGGTTCCGGATTCTAAAATAAGGAAATTTTATGATTTTCTTTGTCTGATCTGATTTGTCTGAAAACTGAATATTTTGGGGTTAAAAGCTGCTTTGGAAAAACTACAACAGACATTTTTGTCCTTTTCTGGCTTTTCATTGGCAGAAATGAAAACTGTGAAGGACTGAAAGAGCTCAATGTTATACTTTGGTCAGATTTTTCTTCACAGTTTTTGGGTTCTGGCCTCTAAAATGAGAGATTTTCTGCTTTTGTTTGCATCTTCTGATGGAAAACTAAACATTTTGGGGTCTCAGTCTGCTTTGGAAAGACTTTCTCATCATCTTTTTAAAACAAGAGGATTTTAGGCTTTTCTCTGGATGTCAGACTGAATGTTTTGGGTTTATTAGCTGCTTGATGCACATTTTCATCGAGTCATCGTTTGTTTGCAGCTTGAAACACTACAAGGAGCTCGATATCATATTTTTTTGTCTAATTTTCCCAGAAATAGAGACACCTGGAGGTTAAATGGTCACAGATGATATATGATGAGACAGTGATGTAGTTTAATTGAAGCTGATTGAATGTCAGGTGTTCATTACCTTTGATCGATGTTTCGTCCTCTTCGTGTGAGAGCCAAAAAAAAAAATGATTCGACATAAATAAGTTGAAATAAACATAAATAAAAAACCCATTGTGTATTCATTTAATGTCAGAAAGCCTCACAAACAGATGTCGTTAAAGCAGAAACATGTCATTATTACGTGAGCTTTGAGATAAATCAGCAGCTACGAAGCTTTAAAAACGTCCCTAACCAGCCTCTGGAGCAGCCGGGACCAGTGCAGGACGGCGGCCAGCAGAGGGCGCCACACCGCCGTCGCTCCTCCACGTTTGTGCCAAAGATTCGTTCACAATTTCAATGCCTGGGTTCTGTACAACAGGTTAGAAAAGCTCCTGATATCGGCTCACACAGCCTCAGAGTGACTTTATTCCTACTGTGAGTTATAACGCTGATCGTTCTACCTGGACACTGAAACTGGACTGATGATGTAGTAAAGTCAGAAAAAGACAAGATTATATTTCTACCGTTTGGTAAAAAGCTTCATGTGCTGCCATGAGTCATGTATGTAAAAAACCTATGTGCCTCCTCAGTCTTGTGTTTTTTTTTTATTTTTTGTTGCATCCAGATGTTCCCGCAGCGCTGCAGCTCCTCCTGCATCTGTCTGCTTCACAGTTTCTGTAAAAGCCTCTGGGGTCGCCCCTCACGTCTAGATGTACCCTAGAAATGGCGATGGACAGTCAGTGCGGCGCCCTAACAGGGGGAGGCGCTCATGTGCATGTGCGTGTGGTAGTGGGGCGGCGGTACGGGGGACGGGGGCATGGTCATGGGCAGCGCCTGGCCCTGGGGGTGGGAGGGGTGTGAGCGGGGCAGGGTGTGGGTGGAGGGGTAGCCGGCGGCCTGCTGGTAGCTGCCGGCGGAGGAGGAGGCGGAGGGCGGGCTGCCCGGGCCGCCCGGCTGCAGGCCGGCCTTGGGCGGCGGCGGCGGCGGCGGCGTCTGGTTGAGCTGGATGGAGATGTCGCTGGACGCCTCGGACGTGCTGCGTCCTCGCTTCGGCGGCGGCCAGGACGACTCCGGGTGCAGGAACTGGCCGCTGTAGTCGCTGCTCTCGGACAGCCGGGGGCGGTAGAGCGCCGGGTGGGGGCGGTACATCTCCTCCTCGGCGTAGCGCTTCATGAACAGGTAGACGGACATCACACCTGCCCCCTGAGACAGACCACAGACAGACAGAGAGATGATGGAGGGCGACAGGCGAGGAGGAGTCGGTTACATGAATAAAGACTGAAC